TTATAGAATTTACGCTGATGCAACTTTTTGTCTGACTGCACAACATGTAATGGAAGAGAAGGCTTGATCTGTTTTTGACATGCCTCTAAAAGTAGATGTCATACTCCTTTTTGTCTCTTCAATGTCAAAAAACTTTCCTTTGAGAGGCAACTTTAGTTTTTGGAAAAGAAAGAAAAAAAATCACAAGAAGACAAATTTGAAAAACATGCAGGACGATTGAGTACACATACTTATTTTCGGAACACAAGCGGTTCTCCGACTGGTTATTGAATAATGAAAAGATGCATTGTCATGCAATACAAAACATTTGGAATACGTTTTCTGACTGAATAACGTAAGATTAAAAGTCATCTGCTTAATTCACAGCCATTTACAAGTCAACTACTCGGGCAATTGCAGAATCGTTTTGATCCTGAGCTTGTAAGACAAACCTAATATCACTGGATTTAAACACTTCTTTAATCTTCCGAGAACATTCCTTCTTTAGCTCATATTCCAAGAATTAAGTGAATACAATTATTGCAAAAGAAATTGAATATTCATGTGCACTATGGCTTGGTAGTTACTAACGAGTTAACAAAACTTAAATTCTGCTTTTTGTGTCTAAGAATACAACATATTTTTTAAATATTTACAAATAAAATATTAAATTGGAGATTTAATTGGAGCCTCATCAGTTGCCTGGCATTTGAAGATTGTTAAATACTAATTGTTTGTTGCAAGTCTAACCCAGGCTTGCATGGTTGGTTTTCATAGTTTTCTAGTGTTCTCTTTACAAAGGTTCTCTATGAAAGCATCTTAATCAAATAGCTCCCATGTTCTTCTATACGTTCAAATAACCAATTAACCAAGTTTAAGCGCAATTTCCAAGTGAAGTTACTAGAAAAAACCCAAATACTCATTAAAAATCATGTAGCTTGCCAATCGAGAGTAACATGAAAGATACGGCGCCAATAATTGAATTGCTGTTACGGTACGCTGTTTCTAAACTTAGATGGTCATTCCTTAATTAAATAGCCCATCAGCGGCCGAGCGGTAAAGACGCTAAACACTGGTAGTTCGGTCCGAGGTTCGAATGCCGCGAACGGGCTGGCCGCATGGGTGTTTTCGTGGTTTTCCCCATGTGTAACGTGTATACGAGCCAGTTTCCCTTAGAAAGTCCACCACGAAGGCATCCTTCCCTTTAGGCAGATAGCCCTCGTGTGCTTTGCCATAATTAAATAATCTAATAATCTAATCCAATCCTTAATTACACATAATTGATTTGTAACATCTACTAGAACTGACGGTAAGAATTGAAGTGCAAATAAATAATATCGTGTGCAATCTTGATTTATTTAAAATTAAAAATATTTGCACAGAACAATATTTGCATTCAGAAGTTTTTTGAAATATTTGCAATTACTTTATAAGAAGGATTTATTTAACCGTAATAATTACTTATTATATTACTGATGATTAGGATTCAGTTCTTGACAATTACATTCTAAATTAGAATTTTAAGGATATAATGAACATACGCTACGCACAAAAATACATTTTAGGATAAAAATGAGTTGATTTTTTATGTTTTAAAACTTCTTAAATTTATTTAAGAAACATCGTATCCTCGTTGTTAATTGAATTCAGAATTTTGGGTGTCTTTTATATAATTATTCTTACTTGTCCACAGAATCTGCTGACTTATCCAGCCATTAAGTAGCTACAGATCATTTCTACATAACCATTGAACTTCCATTAATACAGTCTCTAGAGCAGGGATGTCAAACTCATAGGTACACTTGGGCCAAACAAACAAGGTTTAACTTTAGGCGGGCCGAAAAAAAAAAAAAAAAAAAAAAAAATCAATATTCATAGAAACGTAGATTATTTCGAATAATACAATAATAACATTAATATATATTTATATAGAAAAGAACAAGAAAAATTTAATGTTTACGTCCTGATACTTGACATCTCTTCTCTGCTATTATCTTTCCTATTTCGGGAGAAATTTTGTTTGCAGTGATAACTTTCAACGCTGACCCAAGGTGAGCATCATTAATACGGTTTCTAAAAGGAGACTTATTACTTTTTCATGACTGAAATAACTGCTCGCACCGATAAGTGCTACCAAACATGGAAATAATTTCATATGCGAATTTTTCGAGTATTTTCAAACAAACCTGGCTGGTAAATATTTGTAAAATTCAGGCACGCCCACTTCAATAAATTTTGCTTTCAAATTTGAGTTGCATTGAATCTCGATCACCTCCATTTGCATATGGCTAGGTACTGAGTCAATACTTATTGAGAAATTCGAAGAAAACAAACAAAAAAAAAAAAAAAAAAAAAAAAATTGTCTTCGAGGGAACTAAAATCATTAAACCTCGTTTCAAATTCGGTTGTTAAATTTGCAATTTTTTCTGCGTATTTTTGATACGAACAAGTATCATCTAAACTTGATTTGTCCATGCTGCACGTCGGGAAGTGCGTCAAATCTTCATTTTAAAGTTGTTTTTCCCAAAGAACTAGTTCCGCTATCGGGGGATGCGTACAAGTTCTGAGTGCACGTGTCCCCCAAAAGCCGAAGGTAGCTGAACGCAAACTGCTCACACGCATTTGTAATTTAAGTAGTGTGTGTGTCAGCTCGCTGTGAGTAATCTAACAACTCTGAATAAAATATCGTTAATTACTTAGCAGTAAACATTTCATTTTTTTCTTCGTCGATATGTTATTTTATTATTATATATTACTATTTGCCGATATATTGGCCGGGCCGCAAATATATTTGTTGTGGGCTGCGAGTTTGACATCCTTGCTCTAGAGGGTTGTATGTTTATATCATAATTTGACTTTTATAAAAATGATTATTCTAAATCTTATGTTTCTATAAAAATATACTGTGCTTTAAAAATATGAATGATAGTATCAGTCGCTCTTTCAGCCACTTCAAAAGCAACAGTTTGTTTAGAAATAAATTGTGCAGTTAATGTCATAAAATTCAAATAAACATCAAACGAAAATTCTCAGTTTTAGACAATTCGATTTAAACGAAGTAAAGTAGCAGACGATAAAACGCCGAAGGTAAAAATTCACTCTTACAAAAATTTACTGTTATTTATATATAAAAAAAAAAAAAAAAAAAAAGAAGATAGAGAGAAATAGTCAAAAATTTGAATAATATCATCTATAATTTAAAAAAAAAATAGTTTATTACATTGTATTAAAAAATATTTATTACGCATCATTGAGGGAAAAAATGTCGTATAATTAATTCTCCGTAAAATTTTACTTGAAGTTTAACGTTAAAAATAGCTGTGGCAATTCAAAAATCCATAGACCACATTTGGCGTTATTATCGCTCAAAAAAAAAAAAAAAAAAAAAAAAAAAAAAAAAAAAAAAGATGGCAAATTTCAAACCTCGAAAATATGTAAATTCGTGTATATCTTAGAAAATTTTGAATAAAAAGTCTAATTTTTTGCAGATATGCTTAAAAATACACCTACTTTAAGATGATGGTAAAAATTTTATAGGTTATAATTCAAAATTTTTTCGAAAAATTTATAAAAATTATTTAAAAATAGAAATTAAAAATAAAACACAAAAAATGGATAAATTTTAATTGGAATGAACGTAAATTTCGAAATGTGAGAGAAAAAAAAATCAAAAAGTTTAATAAAAAAAGAGATATTAATAAATATTTGCCAAATTCAATTAACATTGAGGAGCTAAAATTTTGAGAGCTAATATTTTAAAAACTACTCGTACGATTTTTACAAAACTTGGTATTCTGGCATAATTTGGGTGGTAGAATCCAAATATGGAAACAAATTGGTATGTTATTTCAGAAAAAGTCCGATTTTGTGTCAAAATACCTATGTTAGAATAGTGCTATATATAAATCTAATATATATCCTAAGTCGCGCTTTCGAGACATGACAAACGCAGTTTGAATTTTGTCGATCGGCCCAGTAGAACGGGAGATATAGCACTGTCCCATTTTTTTTTTTTTTGAGCATTTTACATTTCTTATGTGTTGAAATTGGGAAAGAATTCCAGATTTTATTAGATAAACAAAGCAATTTAATAAAATTTCAGGCAAAAGTGTGCAGAATCGCCCACTTCTTTATTTGGTGTTTGTTTGGCGCTTTTTACAAGAGTAAGAAGAATTGGATTTTTGTCAATTTTCTTTGACTTTTTAAGTGAAAATAGATCAATGTGTACATGCATAAAGTCAAGGGAGTGCGCAATGCCATTTTTTGTGCAATTCTGGCATTTTTTTTAAAGTGAACATAGGTTGATGTGCACATGGATACCGAATTAGTGCAATTCGTAAAAACGCGCCAAGCAGTGGACGATTCTGCACTTTCCCCAAATTTCATATTAATCTTTTCAAAAATGCAATATATTTGAGACTTTTACTATCAATTTATTCAACGTGTTACATTTCTTAAAAAAACAATACAAAAATGCAATGCATTTTAGAAAAAGTTCAATTAAATTATAATTTGTTAGTATTTAGGAATATTCGAATATATATATATATATATAAGCATGTGGCTTTGTTGGCTAAATTTGGGTACCTAAAAATGAAAAAGCAATACATCTTTTGCACAGGACAACTGGAGAAAGCTTTTCTCATGTGCATATTTTACTTGGTGATCAAAAAATAAATTCTCTCTGTAATTTTCAGTGCTACAAAACAAAGTGAAATATCCAATTTAGCATACAATTTTTGCAATACAACACTGTACACCTTTTTTTTGGCGGGGACAGGCTAGAAGTTTTATTACAAATTTAACGCGAGAATCCACCGAATTTTCCGTATTCACTCCGGTGTCTTTTATAGAAATAAAAGTTAGCAAATTATTATAAACTGATGTGAAAAAGAAGTCATCAAAAGATACGAAAAGAGGATTATGAGCGGAAAATAAATCCAAAAAAACAGTCTCCGGCGATGGCTTATTCTGATTAATTGAATTTCTTCACTTCCCGGCGGATTTTAGCCATAGACTTTCTTTGTTTTAGCCGCCCGTCAAAATTTCCCTTTCATCTCCAGAGTCACTTCTGTGCAACTCAACTCCAGCAAAGTTTAGCTGTTGTTTTCCTTGTGATTGTGAATTGTTGCCGCAGAGTAAATAATGACAATGGTAAAAATATCTGTTATAATCTGTGTTGCAATTATTAAAATTTAGTATGTTATTCCATAATTTAGATCTGAGGTTGAAGTATGGAATAGATCGCTGTTTATTTTGTTTATTACGCATAAAAGTATTGACATGTGTACCGGTAATAGCCGGGCTGTCATAGAACATAAATACATTTCATTGAACTTTTAAGAATTTTCTGTTGAAATAATTTTCTTATTTTATTACCTTTAAACAGTTTTCTCTTTAGAGTTTTCGGTGTTTAATGCTTTGTTATGTGTAAACGAAATAAAAAAGTTATAACCAACGATGTGAACACAATTCGCACCCCACCCGCTTGCAAATTTATTAATGTGAATTCTTTATGTATACAATTTCGTGTATTTTCGGAAGCAGTTAGTTATAAAATATAGGAAATATAAATGTGATACAATGAACCTGTATTGCTGTAATTTTGAAAGATATATGTAGAGCATTTAGTGCATTCAAGTACTATTGCGCAATCTTCGTATCTCGGCAATTGCCTTTTTTAGATAATAGTTGATTTCTGTTAGCCTTGTGATATGGATCTGCTTTTAGTAAAATCCTAGTATACGGTGCAGCCTTGCGCTATTTTGAAAATTATCGCCAATACCAAAAATGACCCAAACAACGTCTATGTACTATACACTATATACATACTCAAACAACGTCTATGTATATAACTATACACTATATACTGAGTATACACTGTGTATAACTATATATATTCTTTGAATGACCCGTTTACTACTCATCGTATATGTCCCTTTTTATTGCTCATCATAAATTCGCCAAAAGTAGCCAAATCCCGTGTGCACCGGATACTAGGATCAAACCCTGCTGTTCTTTAAATTAGTTATATGGCATGCTTATTATGTAATTTTTGTGGTGAGGTAAGACTTGCAAAATAAAATTTGTATTATTTCTAGTGTCTGTAGTCCAGATGCATTTTAAAATGCAATTTGTTGTTTTGTGTTGAAATTGATTTTGGATACTCCAAAAGTATAATTTCTGCAAACAGATAATCGTTTTGTATATTACATTGTATGGAACAGTTGCTTAACCTCATAAGTGTTGTATATTTCAGAAAAACGCACCAAAAATGGATTTTTTTTTTTTTTTTTTGCTGTTTAATTTAGTTCTTTATATCAATATAAAAGTTAGAAAATAGTTATTTAGTAAAAAAATAAAATTTTAATTGCGTTAGCTGATATAAAGGTTGAAGCTATACATCGTTTGGGGTATCAACTATTGCACCTGCTTGTGTAGACCGAAGTGGAAACTTTGGAGAGGCAGGAGGAAGGTTATCAAAACGTAATAGCTTCTAATATCTACACAGAGAAATATCATTATCATCCTGACTTTCTGTATATTTATTGGTAGAAAAATCTGTATTCGATCCTGAAGAACCTGAGTGTAAAGTGCAGAATTGCCCACTTATTTGTTTGACACTTTTTTACAAGAGTGAGAAGATTTGGATTTTTGTCAATTTTCTTTGACTTTTTAGGTGAAAAATTGGTCGATGTGTACATGAATAAAGAGAGTGCACAATGCCATTTTTGTGCAATTCTGGGATTTTTTTTTTTAAGTGAAAATAGGTCGATGTGTACATGTATAGAGTTTGTGCAATTCTTAAAAACCCGCCAAGCAGTGGGCGATCCTGCACTTTCCCCGAACCTAAACTATACTCATCTTTGATGTCAGACTCAGACATCGGAAGAAATGAAACCTTTTATTATAAAATTCACAGAAAAACAACAAAAAGTAAATGTGTGAAAGCAAAACTCTCATTCTTAACATGTTGATATTTAGATTGAGCAGCTGAACACACCCATGCCTTCTCCCGACTGAAATCAGTGTAAAAGTATTACCAATAATGCAATTATGAAAATAGTGAATTAAGTCTTAAGTGAATAACCTAAAGCAAAAATAAACTTAGTTCAAGCTTCACAAAATGGAAACACTAATTTTTGTTCTTCCCGGACTCGGTTTGCACATCACAAATACTGCACTTTATAGTTGCCCGAACTGAACTCTTGTGACATTGGTAAGAGGTAATAAATACTGCTTCAGAAAATGCCATAGTAGAAAAGTAAATTCATAACTACCTCTTAAGTCTGGTAAATGTCCATTTCTGGATAGCTGAGCTTATAAGAAATGAAGTTCCCTTAAAAAAAATCCAGTAATTTTCTGTTATGCAACTGCCATACATTTTGGGATTTGTGTGCATAATGGAAAAGTAACTATTGTGTGCATGTGCCATCTGTAAATTATTGTCAGTGGAATGCCAGATGAGTGGGAAAAGTGTCCCTTCTAAAAACAATTATGTTTGTAACCAGCTGAATATTAAAAGTGCACATTTAAAATTATATAAGATTAAAAAAAAAAAGATTTCAGACATGAAAGCTGATGTACTTTGTGAGTCTTAAATATGGAAGTAAAATATCTAATACAATTATGGTTTGGTTTATTTAATTATGGCAAAGCACACAAGGGCTATCGGTTAATCTTTAGATATGAAAACTTGGCGACCAACCCTGCTAGAGCAACCTGCTAGTTTTTGTTTGGACGCCATTTTGTTTTCACGAAGTAAAGGCATTTTTTTTTTTTTTTTGCTCAGCATTTCCAACATTCTGCTAGCCGAATTACGCTTATGCTAGAACTTTTATGGAACAAATGTGCTTAATCATGATGAAGATTAGGTGCGAAATTGGGACAAAGCGCAGAATCGCCCACAACTTGCCGCTTTTTTACGAATTGCACATACACGGTTTCATCCATGTACACGTCGAACTATTTTCACTTAAAAAAAATCCCAGAATTGCACAAAAATGGCATTGCGCACACTCTTGACTATATCCATGAACACTGCTAAAGTCCTAGCTAGTAACATTTATCGCCTTACCAAAATGTCGCCAAACTACCTGTGACCATATTCCAAAGATTAGCAGGGCTATCTGCCTAAGGGGAGGCATGCCTTCGTGGAGGATTTTGTAAGGGAAACTGGCTTGTATACACGTTACACATGATGAAAACGCCTATGCAGCCACCCCATTTGCGGGATTGAACCTTGGACCGAACTACCAGTGTTCAGCGACTTTACTGCTCGGCCGCTGGTGGCCCCTAATACGATTATGAAACTGGAGAACGAGAAAGTTGACAGATGTCACAAATCATTCTGGCAGAAGTTTAAATGAGCAGGTCATTTTTTTATTTAGTTAGATAAAGAAATGCAAATTACTGCTATAGCGTATAAAAAGAACTTAAATTACTTGTAATTTTTCGCATTACATCACTAAAGTTGTATCTGTTTTCAAAGCAAGGCATCCTTTTTTTTTTTTGATGCCCTAATTTTGTAATATATCACTTCATACCATCCTAAGTATTAATAATTTTTCCCATAGTGTCAGGAAAAAGAAAACAACTTTTATTCTCTAGAAAAATTAAACCTTTGTATTGAGAACTAATAAAGTAAGCATTCAACCAAAATGAGCTTTTTGTGTTTGTGTTGTGATATTTTGTTTATCCATTATTGGCACTAAATCACACTATTGGGTGACAATATATAGCTATTAATAGTGCTATGAGGTCTATAATGGCTTTAAAAAACTCTTAATTTACTTAATTTTTCAGGGGGGAGTTTCTAAAATTTTAAAATATTCCAGTTACTTTAACTTTCTTCCACTTAGTTGAATGCTGGATAGTCAAACATTTACTGTACTAAAAATGTACATAATTTAATAAATGAACTCAATTATTATTCCATGTATTTAGATCCATTTTATTGGAAAAATCACAAAAATATAAGATGGTGAAGTTAGTTTAAAAGGTCTCCGGAATCCGGAATTTTCAGATTTGTGAAATGTATACTCTGTAATTGTAAATCAGTAAAATCAAAACAAATTTTTAGAACAAATACAGTTCAAAGTCTTTAATCTGTATTTCCATAATCCAGAATGATCTATAATCAGGACCTCAAAGCAACTAACTTTCTGCGCATGCATTAATGGACGGTGTAAGCTAGGCTAAAATTATCTATTTCAGTTAATGTTGCAGATTGCGTTGTTCCTTAATCTTAATTGCATTAAGGAATGCAGATTGCGTTGTTCCTTAATGCCTAATTAGATCTGGCTTATTATTTTTTGCAGATTTTAGAACAATTTTATAAAAAGTAAGCTTGAACTTTCGATTATGTCAAAAAGAGTTTCTGATTCTGGAGCTGCCGAAGGATCTACAAAGTGAAAGCATATTCCGATGTCCATGAAACAAAAATGGGGAATTGCTGCAAAAAATGGATAAAAGCATGAAGAAAAGTGACAGAGAAGTTAAGTGAAAATGAAAAAGTTTCTATTGACAAGTTGGTATTCTCAGCACAGCAATTACAAGACTTGAACAGCGGAACTGTGTAACTAAACAAAAAATTATGTCTGGTTATAGAATTAAAGAGAAAGTATTAGCACATAAAACAAAGCAATTTAAACAACTTACATTGAAAGAAATGTTTAATAAAGTAAACAAATAAATATTAAGCCTTTTTTTTTGTAAATTTTGATACCCTTTAGATCATAATTGCTCTTTATTTCATAAATTATGGTTTCATACCAGATTTAAATTGATGATCTATAATCCGGAATCGCCGATATCCCGAGGAGTTCAGATTAAAGACTTTGTACTGTATATCATTCAGAGATTAAACCTTTTAGACTATTCAAAATTAGATGAGCGGTCAAACTTCCCCTTAGAGCAAACAAAGTTTCTCCGGTTGCCCAATCAGGATAATTGTTAGCAATGCTGACTGTTCTACCAAAGGGCCTTCCTTCGAATCACCTAGAAGGCATAGATGTTTGTAAATATTCTTCAAAATATCAGTAAAATTTAACTGAGTTAATATAATTAATATGAAAGCCTAATTTATGAAATAAAGAGCGATTATGATCTAAAGGGTATCAAAATTTACAAAAAAAAAAAAAAAAAAGCTTAATATTTATTTGTTTACTTTATTAAACATTTCTTTCAAAAATTGTTTACGTAAAGTAAGTTGTTTAAGTTGCTTCGCATTTTGTGCTAATACTTTCTCTTTAATTCTATAAACAGACATAATTTCTTCCACTGTTCAAGTCCTGTAATTGGTGTATCGAGAATACCGACTAACTTGCCAATAAAAATTTTTTCGTTTTCAATAACCTCTCTGTCACTTTCTGGACTATTGGAAGCGTCAAAACATGCTTTCGCTTTGTGATCCTTTGGCAGCTCCAGAATCGGAAACTCTTTTTAACATAATCGAAAGTTCAAGCTTACTTTTTATAAAATTGCTCTAACAGTCTGCAAAAAATAATAAGCCGGATCCAATTAGAAGATTAAGGAACAACGCAATCTTCAACATTAACTGAAATAGATAATTAGATAATTTTAGCCTAGCTTATACCGTCTGTTATACATTAAGCATGCATGCGTAAATGCGTATGTGCATGTGTAAAGGCGTGTGCAGAAAGTTTGTAGCTTTGAGGTTTGGATTATAGATCATTCCGTATTATGGGCATCTGGATTAGACTGTATTCTAGGGTTTCTTTCAGGAAATGACTTGCAGATATCTTCTGTCATTGATACTTGAATTTTTCAGATATTTTGGCATGGAAAAGCAAGGTCGTCTAGAATTCCACTTTGCTATTTTCTAATTCTAATTAATACAGTTGATCTTCATAAAACTGGCAGCAGGACTTTGCTAATCCATTAAAAGTATCTGAATAATCTTGTTAAGTGGTGTCTATTATAGAAGATCCATACTTTATTTTATCAGTTATGTTTTGGAACTGCTTTCCTGTTATTATGATTTGTAAATTTCATGAGTTTGTTAACTTTCCTTTATCCAGTCAACTTTTAGCTTCAGACAGTGTGACCAGAAAATTACTCCAAGGAACACTCTGGGCTGAGTTCAGAAATAATTAATCATAAGAATTCTCAATATTTTTGCTTTCTTCAAATATAAATGTACTGCATTAATATTTAGCTGTAATGATGCTGTCTCTAAAGTAATGTGTGAGGTGCTTCACATTGCTTCCAGATGATGTACTCAAAATTTTGTCAGTTAGCACTTTTATTGGATATATGCATGTGGAATTATTGGAGGTACTGAATTATTTGTGAAAATTCTGGAAGAAATGAATTGACATTTGAACGTTCAGCAAAAGATTTTTTTTATATGCATGTATTGTTACTAATGATATGGCAGCTCCAATTACTGCCACCTTTATATTTGAATGAAATACGTGACAGATTCAGTCTTTATTCCATTTTCATTTCTTTCACAGAAAAATTTCAGGTTATTGCCTTGTAAAGCATCATTAAACCAACTGTAAGTTGTGAACACTATAAAGAGAACAATTGTCAAGAAATAATAAACTACAAAGGAAATTCGGATTCCTCTACCAAATTTGATTTTACTTTGATCTACTCTATATTTGTGTTATCATGTTTAGAGATTAAAGCTGATTAATCTTAATTCCTGCTTATTTGTATGTTTTAATTAAATTAATTACACTAGGATAATAGTTGGATATTTTATGCATTTAAGAAATTTATAATTGAAAAAGCAAAATGTGCCCTCCAAATACTGGGCATTTGGTAAACCTTTTCTAGTGACTGTTATTATAGAGAAGTTGAAAATTGACAGCTAGTGAATCTAAAAAATTCATTGTGTATTACAAATCCTTTCTACGCAGCGTATATGCATGCGCTGTGGAATAGCTAATTAATATTTTTATTATTCATACATCTCTCTTCTGTCAATTTGCAAAAAGCCATTAGTTCTTTATTATGATTATTGTTGCCTATATATCAAAGACTGGTGCTGAAACTCTGCAACTGTGTTTAGCTATAAAGTGTTAGGCAAAATTAAGGAAGATCTGTCTCAGAGAACCCAGTAAAAATCATGGAAAATGCTGATAACAATTCAAATTTAGTAATCCCATCAATATGCTGTTTAGAGATAGCAACCACAACCATTCCTTTTGTGTTCTTGCTTTCTTTCATTACTGTTCCCAGTTTGCATTTTATGTTATTACAATATGCAGATTGTTATATATCTTACTATATTAATTATTATATTCATCTTTGCAGTGTGAGGACTGTAACTTATGCCCTACTTTTTATTATTATTTTGTCTGGTTTCTATGCTATCTTTTCTAAAACTGAAGTTGCCAGAAAGTGCTTTTCAGAAAGAAAATATAGCAGATCACTTGCTTGATTACTTGTTTTAGTGTGAAATTAAATTAATGGTCAAAAATTACACATGGAAATTTCAGATGCTATTAAGGACTGTTACCAATGCTGTCTTAATGAAGGGAAAGGTTGTTCAAAGGGAAAGGGAGGTGTTTAAGGCCCACAAATCTAATGAAAAGGAAATGAGGTATTTCTATATAGATTACAAAGTCCAAAATCTGGACTCATCGGGACTTCGGTGATTCTGGATTCGGGATTTTTCCGCATATTAGATCGTAAGTTTAAATCTAGTAAGATGGTATGTAGAAATTATAAAATTAAAAATATGAAATTGTAATTTATGAAATAATGAAGTATTAATGATCTAAAGGGTATCAAAATTTACAAAAAAAGTTTAATATTTATTTGTTTACCTTATTAAACATTTCTTTCAATGCAAGTTGTTTAAGTTGCTCTGTTTTTCGTGCCTAATACTTTCCTTTTAATTCTGTAGACAGGTGTAATCTCTTGATTAGTTACATTGTTGAAGACCCGTAACTGGTGTTTCAAAAATTTCGACTAACTTGTCAATCTAAATTTTCTCGTTTTCAGTAACTTCTCTGTCACTTTCTTTACTATCGGTAGCGGTATTTTCTGGATCTAGAACCATACTACAGATTTCGCTATTCATTAATTGAATGATGATTGAGAAGCATTGTCATCACAATGAAAAATTTCATTTATATCATCTTCATTTATTACTGCTTCTCCACATTTCTTTACAAAATCCGTTAATTGGAAAATTTCTGCGATATCCGAAAACCTTTAAAATTAGTGGCTATCATCATCAAATTTAGCTATCCTTCACTATACATATTTGGCTCTGCATCATGAGCTTGCCGACTTATGACAAGTTGTTCCGTTAAATTTTATTTTGCTTCTATCAGGCACTGAGGCAGTTAAGCCTGAATTGTATTAGTTATTTATTATTATTATGTCTTTTTCTTGCACATGCTTAAGGCTTATCAGAGTTCTGAATAAATAAATTCCCTTATTGAGGGTCGGCGCTAGATATCTTACTGCCTGATGCAGTCTCTGTGGGTCCTAAATTCTGCGACTCCTTGCGGCCATACGAGCCCTGGCGCTGGTTCTGGGTTTATGTGAATAACAAATCAATTATTCTTAATTCAAATAGCCCTAAATGTAATCTTTCTGTCTATGAGTATCATCAACAAAATCTATTTTTAGCATATGGAAAGAAATTTTTAGTAAGTTTTCCTCGTGAACAATTTTTAGCTCATTTAACTTAAATCTGTAGTCATCGCCAAGCGTAATGTCAACATAAAAGGTTACCATACTCCATTATTATTCAGTCACTAACATAAAAAAGTCATTTAGGCATCGCTACATGAGTCGTTACTCAAGTTGTCATGCTTTGATAAACATGTGGTGATGAAAAGAAAGCATAATAAATAATGATTCGCCAGTTAGGCGTCAGATCAATGATGTATCTATGCGGAATATTTTGGTTTGAGATGTGTGCCAAGCAGATATGCAGCAGTGGAGCCAAATTACTGATCGTACAAATATATGCTAAATTGATTGTTTCTTCAATAACAAGGTATTTTATTAAGTGTCAAAATGAAATTAAGAGTCAGACTCTCCAGATGTTTTATTACGTGCGGAGGGAAGACTCAAATGCGCATATGTAAAACCTCTGGGAAAAAACCTTTTTAGTGAAGGTCCGAATTTTAGATCATTCCGGATAATGGATGTCCAGATTTCGGACTTGTACTATATATGTACAAGCATTTTTTAATTCATTTCTAATATTAGAATTCAAATTCGATTTCCATAACTAACATTTACTTTACTCTTCTTTTATGTACCTATGTTTTTTTCCCACTGATTTTGTATGTCCAAAATATAGTGCTTATCATGTTAATTCTTATTTATGTATGCCTGATATAATGCTTTTCCTCCTAGCTTTAATTCATAAAAGTTAAATTTCATTGTTTAAAAAGCTAAATTGGACTTGTATATGATTAATTTCTAGTTTTTTTTTGCTAATTTTATGCTTAATATCTTTTTTTTAACTTTCTCTTAACCATATGTAAATTTAGCTTATATGTCCATAATGTCATGCTTTTCTTTATTGTCATGTTTTTAATTTGTATGTGCTAAATAACATGTTTAACAAGCTAAATTTGCTTTATATATGAATATTAACATATATTTTCTGCTAAATGTTATGTTTTTTATACCTAACAAAAACTTAAACTTAAGTGTTAGAACTTAAAACATTGTGGATTTGCTGTTAGCGAGCCTGACAAGTAAAATATGTACTGTCGCCAAGTGATTTTTGTGGTAATAAACCCAAAATTAACATTCATATTTATTTGATGATACCCAAGAAAGAGGGTTAAATGAGAATGCATTGAATACTTGTAATTCCATGCTGAGTTTATCAGAAAGCTTTTTTCTGAAGATATTCCTTTTCTAAAGTAGAAAGTCCTGAAGTATTATAGCATTATGTTTTTCTGTTTAAAGCTTCTTTAATGTCTTTGATTTGTTGTAATAAAAAATTACTTCTAGTTTTTCTCATTATGTTAATTTATTTTAGAACGGCCCAATTATTCTTTTAAAAGAAGGAACAGAAAATAGTCAGGGGAAGCAGCAAATAATTAGCAACATAAATGCCTGTCAAATAGTTGCTGAAGCAATTAGGACAACATTAGGTCCTCGTGGCATGGATAAATTAATCGTTGACAGCAAGGGTAAGTTTCTTTTATTTGCATTTTAATGACAATCTGTTGGGCTGCTCAAAAAGTAATTTAATTTTTTTGGTGATTAAAACACAATTTGGTAATGATCTAGTATGCAATCTACCACTTCTAGTTATTTATTTTTTAGATGAGGCCACTAAAATGCTCTAACAACTGATTTTAGTTCTACCATCTGAAAAATAAATAATTAAAAGCTAACATGATTGCCGACACTTTCATAGGCCCATATCACACATGCATTTATTTCACACGAACAACTGTTTCAAACAATTTTTCTGAATGGTTTGCTATTGAAAGAAAGACATGATTTTTTTCTACCTTTCTGGAAAAAATTGAAAATTGTTCGTTTTCATTCAATAAGCCTTGTTTCATATGAACAATTTTTCTGCCTGGTTTACTATTGAAAGAAAGAAGTGCGGTTTTTCCCTTTCTTTCGGAAAAAATCACAAGTTTTTTGTTTTCAGTCAGTAAGCCTTGAAATGTCAGCTGTCGTAATATTGTTGCATTCTATGTGTTCGAGGATTTGGAGTGATTGATAACAACATTTGATGAAAAATCAAAACGCAATTTATTTACTGAGTATTACTCAGGGCAGTTCCGAAATCACATTTACAGTCATCGAAAAACTACGATAAACATGCTGAAACAATCAGCAACACAGTCTTCCAACTATCAGGCTGTAATGGTGAACACAGCTTCATGACAAAACATTAAATACAGATCAGGATTCGGTCGATCGCTCTCAGAGTCCACCACACTCAAGATAAAACTCGATGATACACTACGATATGCTCAACAATGCTCACTCTTGATGCACTAACTCGATACACTGCTACTCAGTGTACAGGCAGGGTTTATATAGCTTTTTGGCCTGCCTTCAAGAATATTCTGGGCTAAACCAGTAAGAATTCGTTTCTAGGATGTCCGTCTATGGCACATTACCAAATGTTACCAAATAGAGTTGGTTAAAAATATAACTTATCCTTGGGAGGAATTCAATTACTTCCTGATCAACCAAGTATGCAGTTCAGCTTTGAACACAATATGTGCTTGAATTGCATATCTTCACTTATCGTCTCATACACCTTAAAATCTCAAAAAAAGTGATTTTTCAAATTTTTGGCTCATTTTAAAGCTAATTTTTTTCTGCTTATTTTGACACCACTCCCAATGATATAACTGCAGTAGTTTTTCCCCTATGACCAAATATAAAAAATCAGTCAGGTGCCATTTTGTTGATTTAAAGGGCTGGCCTCAGCAATGCAGCTGTCTGTTTGGGTTTCAAGGGCTATCAACACGGATTTTTTGTAAACATTTTTTGCACAACTTAACATTTTATAATTTGTATTTTTGCTTGAGTTTTTTCTAAGCTGTGTGTTGAAATCTTACTCCAGCTTTGGATTAGCGTGAAGCGTGATTGTTTACAAGCTCTTTTGCGATTTCTAAATTTCTTTTGACTTTTTTGAAGGTGTTTTTATTATAACATTGCAGTTTTTGTTTAGTATTTTTATCACCTGATAATTATGGAAAATTGTGAGGAAGATGTAAAAAATAAAAGATCTTCTGGTACTCGACCAAAGAAAAGAAAGTTCCAGGGAAATCAGCATAATGTTACAATGAATAAGAAGTGTGGTGTCAGTTCTTCGTTTAAAAAATTAAATAGTGACACTGTTTTGCCACCAAGAGATAAAGATAATTTAGAGCCTAATTTTAGTGGTTATAGACTATTTGATTTGGATATCCTATTTCAATTTATTGAAAATAATTTATGTTGTAAAATTTGTAAAGGTAATGTTCATTTAAGTGAACTATTTCATCATGGTTTAAGCTCAAAATTTGAGTTACTATGCTCAAAGTGTTCATGTAAAAGAACTTTCAGAAACTCTAATATGTTGGGTGTCCGAAAAAATATATCAGAGCTAAACAGAAGATTTACGTATGCAATGCGAACTCTTGGTCAAGGGAAAGCTGCTATGCAGAAATTCTGCTGCGTTATGGATCTCCCTCCTGTAATTGCACATCGTTCATATAATATGCATGTAAAGCATATTCTGTCTGCGACATCACATGCTGCGGAAAGATCAATGAAGAAAGCTGCGCAAACAGAAGCAGTTCTTTCAAATTCTTCGTTAAATGTGACTGTAAGTGGAGACGGTACGTGGAAGACTCGAGGACATACATCTTTGGTTGGAGTCTGTTCCGTAATAGGGTCAGAAAGCAACAAAGTAATCGATACAGAAGTACTGTCTTTATATTGCAAAGGTTGTGAGTCATTTCAAGGAAATGGCGTAAGTGAACACAAGGCCTGTTTGAAGAATCATGTTGGTTCTTCAGGAAAAATGGAAGTGAATGGAATGATAAACATTTTTTCACGTTCCATGGAAAAAAAGAGGTTGTAAAATATACTTCTTATATTGGTGACGGTGATGCAAAAACTTTTGCAGGTATAACTGACGCCAAACCATATGGTTCATTAAATATAGACAAAATTGAGTGTGTTGGGCATATTCAAAAACGAAAGGGAATGAGGCTACGTAAATTAAAACTTGAAAGAAAAAAAGTAAAATTAAATGACGGTAAACCTCTTTCTGGGAAAGGGAGACTAACAGATAAGTTAATAAATGAAATAACTTCGTATTATGGTAATGCGATTAGAGAATATAATGAGTCTGTTAGTGATATGAGAAAAGCCATTTGGGCAATTTACTACCACAAAATATCGAGTGATAAAAGCGGATTCATGACTTTTGTCCTACAAATGAAACCACATGGTGCAAATACAATAAAGCTAAGCAAAATAAAACTGATTATAAGCATATAAATTCTGTACCAGTCGCTGTAATGGAGGCAATAAAAGCCAGTTTTTATAGATTTGTCACAACCTTCGTTATTGAGACGTTGCCTTGGCGGCAAAACACAAAATAATAATGAATCATTTAATTCCTTTAATTTGGAAATTTTGTCCAAAGACATGTGGTGCTGGTAGTAGGATAGTTCAAATTGCTGTAAATGAAGCAGTAATTGCTTTTAACGAAGGGTCTGTTGGTAGACATTCTGTAATGAATGAGCTACAGCTTTTTAGAAGTAAGTTTTCTATTGAAGGATTTTTACAAATTGATAACAAGAGAATAGATAACGCAGAAAAGAAATGCTTGTCAGAAACAAAACAACAGCGTAAACTTAAAAGGCAGCAAAAAATGTCAGAAGTGCAGGCCTCCATAAAAAATGATGGGGATGTTTATTGTGCTGGTGCGTTTTAATTTGTAAATAAAATTTTAGCAGTTTAGCGTACAATTTGAAGTAAGTCGTAAAAGGTTTTTTCACCCATGTTAAATAAAATATATATTATACAATATAATACATATCATATGCTTAAATGCTTGAAAGTATTTAACTAAAGTGGTTATATAAAAATAAATTATTTGTGCAAATATGCTACATGTATTTTAATATACGGCTATCATTCTGTCATGGTAATGTATATAGTAAGGTAAATTTAACGTGTTTCATACTAACAAAAGCTTATGCAATTTATTAGGATTTATACTTTTTAAATATATCATTTTGAAAATAAATATACTAGGCACTTTATTATTAGAAAGTTATATACTGAAGTATTTGCATTAAAACTCAAATATCTTAAAATACGGTTTTTCGCAGTTGTATACATAGCATTTAAAGTATGCTAAAGTTACCCTGTGGAAGAACTATTAAATGTTTTATATGTTTGATATACAGTAATATATTACAGAGAACTTTAGCTAAGACATTTGGCTATAAGTAAATTCTAATTTGTAAGGAAGTTTTAGTTGTATCATTCTTAGTCGATATGTTATACTTCGATGAATGTAGCAGTTTAGCATACAATTTCAAATAAGTCGTAAAGGGTTTTTTCCCACCTATGTTTAAATAATATTGCATAATATGATACATATCATATGCTTAAATGCTTGAAAGTATTTAACTGAAGTGGTTATATAAAAATAAATTATTTGTGCAAATATGCTACATGTATTTTAATACACGGCTATCATTCTGTCATGGTATTGTATATAGTATGGTAATTTTAATGTGTTTCATATTGACAAAAGGGCTGATCTTTACAATATGTTAACTGGTAGTTTGGCGACATTTGGAGCGATAAGGACACCTGGCTTGGTAATAAGTGAGCAGTACTCATTCGTATGTTATTTTATGAGGAATTGAGAGATCATGTGATATGCTGTGATATTATGACGAATTACGGTTCTTTAATCGAAAAGGGAAATCGGGAAAAAATCTGGAAATTTTGTATTTGCCTTTATTCTGTGTTGTGTGAAACAGTGTTCGTTAACTTTTGGATCCCATGGCCCTAACTAAAGTGAATTCAAAATGCGTATTTAGTGGGATTGAAAGGGGTAATAAGTGTTTCTTTAAGGTTGTGCGAGATAGAAGTAAAGATGTTTTATTAAGTTATTTATTTTACCTGGTACCTTGCTGTGAACTATAAGTATTTTAAAGATCCTGAAACAGAAATAAGAAAAGGTTATCAGACACGTAATCAAGATTCTGAAGAAGAATAGGTAAGTTAGTATTTTTAATTATTTGAGGATATTATTTTTATGCATTGTTCTAAATGTAAGGTGGAAGTAAAGTAATTTGCGTAAACGTGCATGGAAATAATTTAAATATCTGACGCTAAGTATTTGTAACCATTTGTAATGAAGTAAAGGTAGGAATTAGTTAGTGACGTTTGTAATATAATAGATAATGTAGAGGTAAAAGTTTTTGGATATTTTATTTATTTTATACGGGGAAATGTTCATATTTGGAAAGGGTATGTACTTTTTCGCGATCAGGTAATTTCATATATGTTCTTTTTACCGGGTTTAAAGATTCAGAAAATTGTTATGCATTTTCGTGAAATTTTTCTAATTTATGAGCAAAAAGCAGTGTACATGGATATAGTGAAGAGTGTGCGCAATGCCATTTTTGTGCAATTCTGGGATGTTTTTTTAAGTAAAAATAAGTCGACGTGTACGTGGTTTAGTGATATTTTAATTAAATGATAGTTATTTTGTGAATTTTATGTTTGTAGGAATTTGGTATACGTTTAAGTTGAAGTAAACATGCATGGAAATGATTTAAATATTTGACACTAAGTATTTGTAATGCTTGCAGTATGAATTCGTTGGTAACGTGTATAATATAATAGATGATTTAGAGGTAAAAGTTTTTGGATATTTTATTTATTTTATATGTGGAAATTTTCATATTTGGAAAGGGTACAAACTTTTTCGCGATCAGGTAATTTCATATATGTTCTTTTTACCGGGTTTAAAGATTCAGAAAATTGTCATGTATTTTCGTGAAATTTTTCTAATTTATGAGAAAAAAGCAGTGTACATGGATATAGTGAAGAGTGTGTGCAATGCCATTTTTGTGTAATTCTGGGATGTTTTTTTAAGTAAAAATAAGTCGGCGTGTACATGGTTTATGTGTATGTGTTATTTTAAAAAACGTGTAAGGAGTATGGTATTGTGCACTTTTTTCGAATTTTGCAGTGAATATTTGTCATGATTAAGCAGTTTTGTTAGATAAAATTTCTAGCATAAGTGTAATTCGGCTAGTAGATTGTTGGAAGAAGTGTTCAGTAGATAAAAAAGAAAAGAAACATGTCTTTACTTCGTGAAGACAAAATGGCGGTGGGAAAAAAAAAAATAGAGGGTTGCTGTAGGAGAGTTGGTCGGCAAATTTTCGCCAAAAAAACGCCAAGTTACCATAATGTAAAGATCAACCGACAAAAGCTTATGCAATTTATTAGGATTTATACTTTTTAAATATATCATTTTGAAAATAAATATACTATGCACTTTATTATTAGAAAGTTGTATATTGAAGTATTTGCATCAAAACTCAATTTTCTTAAAATATGGTTTTTCGCAGTTGTATACATAGCATTTAAAGTATGCTAAAGTTACCCTGTGGAAGAACTATTAAATGATTTATATGTTTGATATACAATAATACATTACAGAGAACTTTACCTGAAACATTTGCCTATAAGTAAGTTCCAATTTGTAAGAAAAATTTTAGTTGTATCATTGATTGCGTAGAAGTTTCAAATCATTTTTAGTTGATATGTTATACTTTGATGAATGTAGCTTATTTTACATTAATTATGCTTATACCAACTATTGGAAATTGTATAATATTACAATATCACTCAGAAAATAAGCATTTTATTCATTTCATAACAAGAAAAGTATTTTTAAAAAAATATTTACATTAAAACTTGATTATCTCAAAACATGAATTTTCACTGTTGCGCGCATGATATTTTAAAAACGGTTCTTGGTACACACTTGAAATTTGATGGACTTCTTTATATGAGTATTATCATCTAACTGAACCAAAAATATATTGAATATTTTAATAGTCGAAAAATTTTTATGCATGGAATAATTAAATTTTTTTTTATTAAAATGCATTTATAAATTGAGTTCTAAATAAAATGAAAATTTAACATGAAATTCTTAAAATTTTTGGTTCACAGTAGTCTTTAGATGCTATACAAGCTATATATTAACTATGAAGTTAAAATATATAACAGAATGTTTTAAATTGTGCGTGCAAGGTGGGAGTATTACGTGAACATATAAAAAATTACCTCACAAAGAAGATTAAATTATAAAAATATTTGTGGCAATACAAATTATCTGCTTACTAATTCACAAAGCAGCTGTGCTATCTAATCAGCTGTAAAAAACTGGAAATAATTGCTTTAAAAATAAATATCCCAATTCTTACAACAGTATCATATTCAGAGATTTTTGAGGGTTTTAAGGTGTACGAGCCTCTTAACATTATGATTTTGATAAATTTATTGAAAAATTTCGTGTACTGTTTGGACTGCTGTGTGTGCTGTGTGGAGAAGTAATGAGAGTAACACATTGAATGTTAATTCTGTAATGATTAAAATTTGAGTAATGGTGAATAAATGACTGAAATTTGATTATGTGGTTTATGGTGGCGACTCATATGAAAAAATTCATTCTCCTACTCATTTTGTGAAATATACCATTTTTAAACCTGATGAATCATTTGTAATAACCAGTGCCCATACATTAACCCTTTGACAGGCATCCCGCCTTTTTTTATCAGTTTTTATTTCCCTGATGAAAGCTGCAAAATTCCATTTAAAATACATGCAAATATGCCTTTTAGTTTTCTAAATGTATAACAGATGGCAGCACTAGAGTTCATTCATTGAAATAATGTAAAATAAAAATTCTTTGCAGGTCTAATTTTGAAGCAATTTTTTTTTTTTTTTATTTATTTCTAATGCAATTTAAATCGTCTGAACAACAACTTTTGGTGTCAGAATATTTTTATGTGAAAGTTCCCTTTCCTAAAAAAATTATTATTTGAATTCATATACATTAATTAAGAATTGTTGAAATTAAAAGGTGGAACCAAATACGTTCCACTGCACATGTAGGAATTGCTGCTACTAGATGGCAGCAGCATTCAAATAATTTTAAATTCAAGTATCATGTTCGTTTTATATGTTACTAATGCAAATCTATATTTTTTAATAAATTGCAATGTTAAAACTTAAAAAATATTTAGTATTTTTTCCGTAAGAAATGAAAATATGACTCTTTAACATGAAATGTCATTGAATACTGAATGGATATGCAAGTATAATTCACCATAGAAAAATATCCTAAGCAGAGGAAAGAGAGGCGAAATGTAAATCATGGCAGCCTTCTAAATATCTTCCTTTTCAAACCTGTAGAAAATAAAGTACTGGAGCGAAAATCTTCTCCGTTTCAAATCTATTATGAAATCTTTAAAAAAATATCTAAAAAGTCATATGTGCTGCTTGAATCAGAAAAATTTCACAAATGTGAAAAAAAAAAACCCTGCTCGTGTGAAAAAATCTGCACAAAGAACAACACCGTTGCATTCAAACTCGCATGCAAAAATGAAATGTAAAAATTAGTGGTACAAAATGTACTAATAGCATGTGCTGATGTTATTGCATATTATTTTGTATTTTATTTTAATATTTCATTTCACATTTACTTCATTATAGGAAAAACAGTTATTTCAAATGATGGTGCTACAATATTGAAAGAATTAGAAGTTGTACATCCAGCTGCCAGAACATTAGTTGACATTGCAAAATCTCAGGATGCTGAGGCAAGTTTTAAATACAATATTAAATATTTGTAAAATATATTACTTGACCCGGTTTAAGCAAATTTTTAATGAAATCTGGAATCATTTCGACTTCAAGGCTTCTGGATTTCAGAAATGTCCGTATTTTTAGATCATTCAGTTTAAAACTAGTAAGATGCCATTGCAGTAGTCCTAGACTATAAATACTTAGCAAGTGTTATTTGCATAAAGAAAGTTTCCCCCTCTTAATCATCGAAATTGCATTTTAGTTTGATTCTAGCAAAATGACTAGAACTTGAATGACAACTTGAAACCAAAATGGCAATATTTTCTGGCCATATATCCATTGGTGTGAATTACAGATGTATGGTTTCTGGAGAGGAGTTAAACAGCGACTTTATCATTGACAACTAATTTTGATAAGATTAATAATAGATGAAACAAAGTTATAAGCTGCTGTAAATCAGAGTTGAGTGAAGGGTACACTTTGCTATATTAATGGAAATTAAGTTTCTCAGAATCTGTCTTCACTTCTCTGCTGCTGTGCTCACAAAAGGAAACTAGCATGGGCAACATCTGGCTCTAAATAAATGTGTCTTGGGGCTTCATTTATTGTTTAGGTTAGATCAGAGTTTCTTAAATTTTTTGGTGTGGAAAATATTTATAAAAATTGTGTTGGACCCCATAAGCATTGTGCAAATCTAATACGCGTGTGAGTGAAACTACAGTTTCTTCACTTGTACTGTAATATACAATTGTAGTTTTAAGTCGTTGAGATTGATATTTAAAGTAAAATGAACGTTTCTGTGATTAAAAAAAATGCGTCAAAACATTTTTATTTTTTCTTTGTTTTTATTATCTTTATCTATTTTTTCAGATCCATTATGTAAAAATATTTGGTAATTGTAAAATTATTATAATAAGTTAAAGAAATATCAAAATTGCTAAAATTTTTGGCGACCCCCCCCTGCTGCAGGTCCTGTGACCCCAATTGGGGTTGCAACCCATAGTTAAGAAACTCTGGGTTAGATGGAAGAATGCTAACTCACTCGCAGCCACTTGAGGGTGGAAAGTGTGGTTTCAGTTCTTAGTCCTGAAAGCCAGCCCCAGTATGTCAATGTATTATTGGCCATGATGTAATTCCCTAGGCAACAGGTTTTGGAAGTGCTACAGGAATCTGTTGGGAGAGAAGTCTTTTTTTAGGACATAATTTTTTTTTCTCATGAGCATTATATTATCCATTTTTGGACCTTGAAAGGGGAGGGAAATGGCTGATGGTTCAGAAGCTGGTGGTATTTCTTTTCAGATATTGGATGCATGGATTTCGAACCTTGTGCTGTATATTAAAGAAATAGCATTGTATGATATACTGAATTTAAATGCTGCTGTGTAATTTTTATATTTCAGTTTACTTTTGTTCTGCTCATTAATTTATGTTAATTCATCATTTTAAATAAATGTTAAAGTTGGATTCGGTTTTCAGACATATTTATTTGAAATTAATAATTTTTTTAGTACATACTTTGAAGAAGTTCTTTGGGTTTATGCTGCCATATATTTTATTTTTTTCATTTAATACTGAAAATGTAGTACAGTGGCTTGAGTGGTTAGACTTTCAAAACATTGATAGTTTGCCCAGTGTTCTCTTACAGCATTTGAAAGGGCTTGGCTATTTAGTGTTTTCCTTATGTTTGACCTAAAAAATAGGTTGCCTTAAAGTCTGCTACAAAGGCATGCTTTTGCTTTTTCATATGCTAGTTATCTTAGGCATAATTATATAATTTGTCTAGTCTGTTTGAGAGGATTTTTTAATATATGTATTAATTAGGAAAATATTTATAGGTGGGTGATGGGACCACAACAGTCACACTGTTAGCAGCAGAAATTTTGAAACAATGCAAGCCTTTAATTGAAGATGGTATTCATCCTCAGATTATCATTCGGAGCCTTCGCACTGCTCTACAAATGGTAAGTTCCCCTTCAATTTGTTATGTGTTATAAGTTTATAATAGTATTTTTAATGAGTAATTAGATTGTTTTGAATATAGGAAATTTAAAGTGCTTTGTCTACATTCAGTGCGTAAAATATTTGGCATAAAATTGTTCCTGCAACTTTTATTATAATTGCACTGTAAGTTGATGAATCATAGCTGTCCTCATATGTCTGTAATATACTATATAATATATTTCAAATTATAATGGTATATTTTTAGCAGTACGGCAAAGTAAGGTACTTTTCAGTTTCGCCAGCGAAAATCTCGCCAAGCAGACTTTATTCGTGACAGCACACAGTATATATATATAAAAAATGTTAACAAATATTAGTTCTAAGAATTTTTTTATTTTGACAGCATAAATATTTTAATATCGTTTAAAATTTTTTCAAATGGATCTTTTCTGTCCTTTCGCCACATAAATTCGACAAGGTAACTTTCCAGATGATGACATTATGTTTCTTATTCCGCCATTTCGTGCTACCCCATAGTCTTTCTATTTTTTTTTGTGTGTGTTCCCTTTCTGGATCGACAAAATTGTATTTATGGTTCACTTTGAAATGTTCAAAACTTTGTTCTTCCAGCTTTTCAGTGCAATATAATTTCCATGAATCAGAATATATAGTAGTTCCTTTTCCTTTATTGCCTTTAATATAATACTCATGGATCGATTTGGCACCTTCACAAGGAAACAGTCATTTGTTTCACAACAAACTCCACCAAAGATCCGCTGTTGTGGTAGAGTCCTTCCGGTGTTGTTTTTGCGCTTCGTGAACATACTTTCATCCACTTCAACGATCATTCCAGGTCCTCCTATTTTGCATTGATGACGTTTAAGTAGAGAATCTGCACAAACCTCTTGCATGTAGTTATTCCAATCCACAACTGTTCAGTGACTGGTATCTAACTGCTTTTCACACCATTTTACTGAATTAAAGTTAATTCTTCACTCCAACCATAAATAAATCTTGCACACTTCAAGAAACTCAATCTCGATGACTCAAACCATGTGCCTTTCCGTATACTTCTTTTACTATGGCAAGTTGAAAGTTGCAATGCCATTGAATTTCGTCTCAGAAATATAATTTCATTTCATGATTATTATCACAAATAGAACTTTTAGGCAAAACGCTTTTCACTTGGAAGAATTTGACAGATTCTTCCTCTGTATTGGGCAAATCCCAAATTTTCATTGGTTTTTTTCATCCATTTTTGACATATTTGTAAAAAAGATGTTAATTTAAGAATTTACTATGTTTTAATGGTACAACATCCTGATTCGCCGGTTTGTATCACATGATTCCAAATGATCTCATCTCATGTAAACTACGCTACAAAAATCTGATTCTCTCAGTAATTATCTACATTAATTTCAAGTTAAATCTCAGTATGGAATACAAGTTTAAATGCAAGAATTAATTTAATATTATAATTTTAAAATTCTATGTAACTGTATGCCCATACTAATAAGAAATAGCGGTGAATCTTTACATTACGGTAACTTGGCGATTTTTTGGCGACCAACCCTGCTACAGCAACCTGCTAGTTTTGTTTTGGACGCCATTTTGTTTTCACGAAGTAAAGGCAATTTTTTTTTTTTTTTTTTTTTTACTCAACATTTTTTCCAACAATCTGCTAGCCGAATTACGCTTATACTAGAACAAAGTGCTTAATTATGACGAAGATTAGGTGCGAAATTGAGAGTGCCTACTTGCTGCGTTTTTAAGAATTGCACATGCACGGTATCCATGTACACGTCGACCTATTTTCCCTTAAAAAAAATCCCAGAATTGCACAAAAATGGCATTGCGCACAGTCTTGACTTTATGTACATGTCGACCTATTTCCACTTAAAAAGTCAAAGAAAATTGACAAAAATCCAATTCTTCTTACTCTTGTAAAAAGCCCCAAACAAATAAGTGGGCGATTCTGCACTTTAGCAGCGAAATTGTTTCTAAGTGCTTATTAGCTAAAATCACGATCATAATTTTCCGGAAAATGTCACATTACATGTCTCAACCTCTCATTTCTCTGAGACAAAATAATCTGTGATTCGAACTGTGTACTTCTCAGATTATTGCTAAAGTCCTAGCTAGTAACCTTTATCGCCTTAAAATGTCGCCAAACTACCTGTTACCATATTCTAAAGATTAGCCGAAATAGCAGCGATTTGTTTTGAAAATGTGGCATGAAAGGTTATCAGCGAGGATATTCCATTTGGCATCAGTTGTACCATTTTTGGTGACTTTATCGCTTGCGCCGGCGAAATGTAAAATTGCACCGGTGAAACGGAAAAGTACCATAAGTAAATATTACTTCATATCTATTGATAGCATTTGGATGAATCATACCAACTTCTATGTGATGCTGCTGTTCTTTGTTTTTAGATGGGAATGAGTAGTTACCATCAGAATGGAACAGTTCTTTTTCTTTGTCACATATATTTGCTTCTAAATAAATTCATCTGGACTAGATATTCATCTAGATGACTGTCAGTACTTTTTATTTCTCTTTTTCGCAGATCTCCAGACACTTTCCTCACAAATTTACTACTTGAACTGTAAATATATAACCAACTTTACAGCAGTTGTGAAAGATTTCAAATATTTTACAGTATTATCCTTTATTTTGTAAATTGAATTTTTAGCATTGTGGTCAGAAATTTTTATGAGGGAAATTTCACCTATTTCATAAAGATGCTCCAGTTGAGCATTGTTCTAGCAGATTCTTCCAGCTTTCTTTTTGCATTTTGTAAACATGCTCTTGGTCTTCATGGCATGTCTTGAGGCTGTCTTATTAAGAACACATTTCTTTGTTAGATAATTATTCAAATTAATTACACTTTAATTACACTTTTATTCTCCGTATGCAGTTCTTGGCAGAACTTCATAGTAATTGAAATATACAGCAATTTTATATGTTCGGAATGTGTATAATTATTTAAGGTACACAAGTATTTTCTTATAAATTGAACCATTTGCAGCCCTCTGATATTGTCCACGCCCCTCAAATTAATTTTAATTTGCCACAGATCCTGTCATAAACATTCCTGGAGGTCTGCAGGAATTACTTTGGAAATCACTGTCATAAATGAATTCAATGCAAAACTTCTAAATTAAGATATACCCAACAAATATGAAATTAAAGATATCCAGATTCATTTTACTGTAGTTACATGTCTAGCTTACATTCTTAGTATTTTATTTTTATGTTTGTATGCATACATTTTAGTTATTTTATATGCTAATTATTTTAATTAATACCCAAGAAAAGTGCTGAAAGTGTTTTTTCATTATTTTAGCGATTTTATGAACTCTTAAGATGTAATAAAATCTCTCGATTTACATAGCAGCATATGTTCAGAATTCCAAATGCATTGTTAAATGTTGCCATACATTTTTATATTTTTTCAGTCTTTTTTAAGTGCATCGTGTCAATATCCAGTTTTAGTAAGATGGCTAACGAAAAAATATTATTATTAAAAAATTATTTTTTTTATTTCTTTTTATTAGTAACTTTTTATGTGTTAATTTTATTTATTAAATATCACGTTCTTTGCACTTCCATCACATAAATTTGAATTCAATAGAAAAATAACCAAACATTTAAAAACAGCGTATCTTTACAGTTCCCGAAAGGCAGCTTAGTGCGATAGTGATAAAAATGTTTTATTTCGAACAGTTCTGCCACTGCTCGCAGAAATCACTTAAATGAATCTGGTTATGAGGATACAAATAGATAGCTTGATAGATGTAAGTTTGTAATTCATTTAAAGTTGTCAAGTTCTTATTTTGTTCTTGTTCAGTTTCACTAATAAGGACTTCTTACAGCTGCTTTTGATGAATGAGGGAAATACAATGCTGTTTTAATACTGTTAAATTATGAATCATTTATAGCATTCTATAGCACTTTTAATCCAAAAAAATTATTCCTTAAAACCTTGGATTTTTCGCCATTAATTCACACTTTTACTGTCCACAATAGTAATTCTTTATCATGTTTTTCATAGTCATTTACTTCAATAAGATTAGGAAAATTCAAATATTAAAATGTTAAAAGTCTGATTTGCACATTTCAAATCGTTAAACTTTTTAGTGCAAGAACTTTTGAAGTTTATTTGTAGTATGCTTTTTTGTAAAATTTCACTCTAATCTTCTGATATAAATTTCTTTAAGTCTTAAAACTGGACATGGTTGGCTGGATTTATCTTTTTATCTGTGTTATTTCTAACACGTGAAAGTTTCAAAAATATTTCATTTCTTCCTGAGTGAAATTAGATAGTTCATTATCTTAATACCCTAAATTTATTACTTTTAATAGGATGAATGATAAGAAGAGATAGTTGTTTTAATGAGGTATTTCATAGTATGGGAAATAAATTTGTAATTGTATGTTATGTTCTTACATAGAAAGAAGGAAGTTCTAGATTTGATAGTACACGTATTAAGAGCATTCAAAATGTATGAAGAGTACTAGATTTAGTGTGAAAGTATTTATAGTGGTTACTGCTGTTAATGTAACTGAATTACGATGTTTTCCTGAAAATAAGATAGTGTTATATTAATTTTTGTTGCAAAAGATATGCTAGGACTTATTTTCATGAGATGTCTTTTTTTATGTACAATAATTAACATTTCTTCAGCTTCAAGAAATATATTTATTTATGTTCAAGAAACATTGATATAAATGAATAAAATCATTTATTCTAATACAACCATGTCGTCTTTTTCTGACACATCATCACAAAGCTTCAAATCAAACTCCGGTTTGAATTTTTTGCAACTTTATCTTCTCTAATCTTTTGGCCCTTATGTTGAGCAGTACAGCTTTTCTCCAATGAGCTCTTGTTCCATAGCCTGCTCATAAGGCATTGGCAACATAGCTGTCCATTATTATCCCATGCGTTCTTCAGCCAGGTAACTCATAGTGTAGGTTCCTCTACCTTTTCTCATTGATTTCTTTTTCTCTATTCTGTTTTCAATGAAGTCATTGATTTTTATGTGTAAGTGGTCATTAAATGGCTGTTTACTGCAATATCAAAAGTATGAAGATATTATTCATTCCTGGGGGAATCATTACTTGATCAATTCTTTGACTCACTTTCTAATTGCTGCTTGTGTGCATTAAGCATCTTCAGTCACAACAATGTAAATGCATGAAACATGTTCAGTTTCTTCTTTCTTGCCCTTAAAGATGGTTAAAAGGTGAGAGGTTTCTGTTCATCAAGATAAATGGCCAAAATATATGTAATGCGTGCACTTTCGTAACCAGTGGAGGGAGTGTGTATCACAGAGGCACCCCTCAGGTAGTTTAAACTTCTTGACTCATTAACACTGCAATTTCATTTATAGCAATTATGTTTGAGAGTTGGTACTTAGAGGAGTTCATGTTACTAACGAAATACTTGCGTCTCAGTGCATCTTTATGTAGCACATTTAATTAGGGCTGTGGAGTCGGTATTGAAAATGACAGACTCTGACTCGTGGAATTTTAATGACTTCGACTCCTTCATATACTATATGTGAACATATAAGCATGGACACAGCTTATTTTTTTAATATAAAAGAAGTAGTAGATGCTACAGATAAAAACTGATACATAAGAAATTTTTTAATATTAATTAGCATTTATTATGAAATGGAAAAACTGGCATTAGTAATTTCTAAGAAGCAGCAAAACTTTGGCAAGATTTTCTTTGTTAGAGGACCCTAGGACCGATTTGATGAACTTCAGAATTGAGAACTTTCCACACTGACTTGAGTAGGAAGAAGAGCTGTTTACTGTTAGGGCTACTTCCTTTAACTTTTCAGGATAGATTTTTGTAAGTTCTAAAAGAGGTATCTTGCAAGAGCAATCATATTTATCTATTTCTTCAAAGGCCGCGCATATATCTTGTTTGTATTTTTTCATTTTTATATCTAAAAGCTCTTGGTTCTTTATTTTCATTCACTTTGCCTTAGCCTTTTTAATATTATCCAAATATTTCAAAATCTAATTCATCAGTGGAAGATGATAAAGACTCAGTTGTAATATCTGCAGATTTGACTGTCCTGATTTGAATACTCCAGTTCTGAGAATGATTTCATTCTTAATGAAAGTTCATAGATGGCTTTCTTTGCCTTTTTAATTTGTTTGTCATCCAGCAAAATTCGGCATTTTGGATGTACACATATTGAACCCAGCACGATCTTATTGTTTAGCAAACTAGTTTCTCTTTTCTTCATTGAAGAAATGATTCCTTCTGCAATAAACCCTCCATTTCAGAAAGAACAAACATCACATTCTTCCAGTCTTGCCTCTTGTTACTTCTTTGCAAGAGGTTTGCAAAGAATTTGTTTTGTAAGATTGCAGCTTTTTGGTGGCTATATATGGTATGGAAAGAAGAGTAATCAATTCTGCAACTGTAGTATGATCACTACAGAAAGACTGTGGTACACAGAACCATAAGATCATACCACAGTCTTTCTGTTAGTGAAACATTAAGGTTATCTACATCTTCTAACATTCTCATCTCCTGTTAATTCTTCTGATTGAAGCTTTTTTGTGGCTATATACGGTGTTAAAAGAAGGATTTCCAGCTCTGCAAGATCATTCCACAGTCTTTCTGTTAGTGAAGTATTAGGGTTATTTACATCTTCTGAAAAAGCTCATAGTCTTAATAACCACTATATCATCAAATATGTACTTCTCCATTGCGTTGCTCCTTTTCCTGCTCGCTTTCTAAGAATGGCATCAATTTTGGGAGTTTTTGCTGCTTACCTCAATTAACCAATGAGATTAGTAACTAAATGAAGTTTAATCAATAATGGCAAATATCACACCCATCCTGCTCCCTTTATTTATTTACTAATATGTCAATAAAATAGAAAATAACTATTTATTAATGTATATCGTTCATAAATAAAAGTATTAACTCAGTTTTTAATTAATTTCAGTTCACTTTAATTTCATTTCGAATTCAAACTGTTCAACAAAAACTGGAGTCGGAGTCAATATGATTTTTAGAGACTCCAACTCTGACTCCTTTTACCCCAAAATCTACCCAACTCCGATTCTGACTCTATGACTCCGACTCCACAGTCCTGCATTTAATCACACCAGTATCATCCATTTAAATCAATGTTGTTGCTCTTAGAGATGGTTTGTATCGCTGAAGGAAGCCATTCACCTAGCGTTGTGATTCCTTGAATTGTCTGGTGGTATGTCTAGCTGTAGTGCCATTTCAATTACATACTAACCCCCTATGAACAACAAAACACTTTGCTCTTCTGTCATCAGTCCTTTCACAAATGATATTTTCTTATTCAGGAAATAATGGTGCCAGCTTGATCCGCACTAACACTTCTTGGCATTTCACTCATTGACTGGTTGATGGAGGTTATTATATTCTGATTGCCATTTTTGGACCATTTGTAGATCAAACACCTTCTCATTGCAGAAAGCTTAAGATTTTTATCCGTGTATTCTTCCACAATTGCTTTCTTGTACTTAACAGAATAGCTCCTTCTTTTTGCATTCATTTTATCTGAGCATCAAATTTTATTATCAATTTAAGTTTAATATTTAAATAAACACTCATTGCTAATGCACATATTGAGTACTGAAGATTCTAATTCATGTGTTTCAGATATGCATGTATGCTGTATCTGTACTTTATCATTCGACAATAAGACACTCACTGGCTGACAATCTTAACTTGGGGCTTATTTTGGGGGTAGGGTTTCTTTTATGAGTACCCTGAAAAATCGTGTTAGGGCTTATTTCTTTATTGGATCTTACTTTTTGGAGAAATACAGTATAAGTTGCAGGTCAAATGTAAGTGAATATATTAGTATGATGGGGAAACTGACCTGAATGTCATTTTTTCTTCTTTTCATGTACAGCAAAAATTATTTCAATTAAAAATTAATGTGTATGTTGCATTCTTTTAATTACTTTCATTAACATTCCAAAATACTATAAAAATTTGATATGGTTCTGTGTTGTTGTGGTTATAGGACAATAACACAGAACCATATCAAATAACCCATCACATAAAAACTATATCAAATAACCTATCACACATACATCACACTATAACTATTTTTATGTGATTTTTATTTGATATGGTTTTTATGTATGACATACAAAACATCACACTATAACATTGTGTTGTTATAGGACATCCCCTTCTGTTTAACTTTCGTTTGAATACATATATATTTTTCTAATTGTAGGCTAAAGCTAAAATAAATGAAATTGCTGTTAAAGTGGAAAAAGGTGATGAAAAGTAAGTGTTATGTTTGTGTTGATGTGAAATTGTTTGTTTTATTGAAGTATTGGGCTTAAGTATTGCTTGTTTTATTGAAGTATTGAAGTAAGGCCTGTTCAGAAAGTATTGAGACTGAATTTATTCAATTTATTCTGGAAAACCCCCAGCTGTGGGACTGTGTGCGTCATGCACACGCATGTTTCACCTAGTTTAACAAAAACTGGCAGGTCTGTACAGCACACCATTCAGTCACACTGACTTCTTTCATGTCGAGTGTTTCCGTGCGTTCATCGAAAACAGAAAGTGTCTGAAAACATGGAGCAGCGAATCTGTTTTTGCTTTAAGCTAGGTAAAATGGACACCAAAACCTACGAGATGATGAAAACAGCATTTGGAGATGAGGCGATGAGTCGTACTCGGGTTTTCGAGTGGTTCCGGCGATTCAAGGAGGGTCGGAAATCAGTGGACAGTGATCCCCGATCTGGACGCCCGTCCACCTCTCGCATTGAGGACAAGATTGCACAAGTAGTGATGCGCTCTGATCGTCGCTTAACAGTCCGAGAAATTGCACACAATTATGGCGTTTCCATAGAATCGTGATGAAATTTTGAGAAAAGACTTGAACATGCGCTGAGTGTCTGCAAAGCTTGTGCCGTGTCTCCTCACCGAGGATCAGCATTTCGAACGACTGGCAATTTCATCTGATTTGTTCCAAAGTGCAAGCGACGATCCGGAGTTCATGAAGCTCATCATCACTGGTGATGAGTCGTGGATTTATGGATACGATCTTGAAACAAAGCAGCAGTTGTCACAGTGGAAAACCCCGGGTCTCTTCGGCCAAAGAAAGCACGGCAGGTACAAAGCCAGATTAAAGTCATATTGCTTGCGTTTTTCGATGCAGACGCTTGTGTTTTTCGATGCAGTTCATCATGAGTACGATCCCCAGGGCCAGACAGGGAACAAGGACTTCTACTTGGACGTCATGAGGAGATTAAGAGAGGCTGTTCGCAGAAAACGACTGGTGTTGTGGCTGTCCTCTCGCTGGATGCTTCATTATGACGGAGCCCCAGCACACACCAGCAATCCTGTGCAGCAGTTCCTGGCAAAACACGGAATAATCCAAGTAGCACATCCTCCCTACTTGCCAGACATGTCACCTCCAGATTTCTTCTTCTTTCCCAAGATCAAGAACACCTTAAAAGGACACCTGTTTCAGGACATTGAGACCAAAAAACAGAATTCGATGTAGCAGCTTCAGGCCATCCTGAAGTCTGTTTCCCGTTCATCCCGAGTTCCAGGAATGTTTCGAGGATTGGAAACATCGTTGGGTCAAGCGTGTTACTGTCAATGGAGCATATTTCGAAGGAGATTGACTCAAAACCTGTTTTGCATTATAAATTCAGTCTCGATACTTTCTGAAAGCCCTCATATCATCTACATCTTTATGTAACATTATGTGTGCATATGTTTATATATAAAGGTTAGTTTATAAATCTTAAATTTTTGAACATCAAAATTCATATTAAATTTTCTTAAAATATTCTGTATCATACTGAATATACAACTTCTTGCCCATTCAAACCACTTGTTAAATATTGCCCTGTATTACTTTACTGGGAAGTTGATTACGGATACTCTGTAAGCAGCCATAGCATTTCAAGTGAGTCAAATCTGTCTGAATCTTTTCATTAATTTAAATTTAGACTTACAGGAGACAGGACAAACGATGAATGCTTTAGAAACTGAAATGGCAAAGAAAACTTAAAAAATTTTGTTTGATAATAAGGTATTGAAATGCTGTGATGTTATAGGATTCCTTGTAATTCAATTTTTGGACAATTTTTTTTGGTCCCATATTTGAAACATTTTGTAATATTTCATTTAACAGTCATTATTCTTTGCTCCTCTGTCAATATAGTCAACAATCAACAACAACCATACTGTTTCCCCCCCCCCAACACTTTGCCCTCCCTTGATCTTGTTAAAAAGATCTATATTGGAAAAATTTGGTGAACTAAAGTGTTAATTAAAATAGCTTCAAATGGTTTTTTTACTCTGAACAACTTTCTGCCTCCGCATTAACTCCGCTAAACATAGCTTCAAATGCCATCTTGCTTAACCCCATGTTTTTTGTTCTACCATGAGTGGTATAGCTGGGGGGCACATCTGTCCCCAGGAGCAGCATCCTTGGGGCGACAAATCGATGTCACAAAATTTTAGAATGAAATGTTTTCCATTCTTGGCACACAGAAAGGAGCACAAAATCTTCAGTTGTCCCCATGTGCTGAAACCCTTGCTACGGTTCTGTTCTGTCTGTATTTTGAAAAAATTTTTATATTCTCTCAATATTTTGCATATGAATGGAATGTGGAATTCTGGAATCAAAACTGAATTTTTGGTTCACTTTAAAAAGAACAAAACTGGCATTTTAGAATTCTGCATTTTTAGGCGGCCCAAGAAACAGAATAAATGGTTATTCCTTTTTTTGTATTTTCTTTGTTTATATTTAACAAAGGTACTAACAAGAAATGTTTGGTCAGGTACTAATAAGAAATGTTTGGTCAGGTACTAATAAGAAAGTTTTTTTTTTTTTTTTTTTTTGTTTCCTGGCAAATACTGCCAAAAATCCATCAAGGGGCAGAACACAGACAACATTATATTTTCTTTTTGTGAGGAGGCTTTCATCAATCTCTCTAAGCCTTCTTCACATTTTTAAAAATTATTTTCATGATCATATCTCATACATCTCAAATAATTATTCCCGCATTTTTAATGTTTGAAAAGTTTGTTCCATACGTAAGCAAGTAATTAATATGCTCTTTTGGTGGTAGACAGTATAAGACAGTGATCTCAAACACAAATTATATGTGGGTTGAGTGCATGGTGTGAAAGCAGCTGAACAGGCCTGACTTTTTAAAAATAAAATTAAAATTTTTTTTCAAAATAAACATTTTTAAAAAATAGATTAAAGAATTTCTCCGATAACTAAATCTTTATGTATAAAACTAATAAAATCTCAGAAAACTGAAATTTATATTCTTATTTTAATCTAAAATTGTGAGGTGTTGATACCTGCAAGAAATTTTTATTGGCTTCATTTTGTGATTCATACTTGCTAATAGCTAAATAATAAATTTTCAGGCCGACAATTATTTCAATTAATTCAAGTTATTTAGTATAATTTGACTTACTGTATAGCTTAAAATAAACAAATAATGGCAACCTATTCTCACTCTTTTATTAAATTTTTCTTCAATACATGCCAAAAAAAAAAAAAAAAAACATGCAATTGTATGTAAGTAATTATAAACTTCCTTATTTCATACTAGATCTTGGCACGTGATGTTATTTAGATTCTAATAAAGTTTTGTTGCATTGTAGTAAAAAAGAGAATATTTTCTAGATTATTGCAAATAAAATACAGTACAAAGTCCGAAATCCATACTCGTCGGGATTTCAGCGATTCCGGATTTGGGACTTTTCCGGATATTAGCTCATCAGTTTAAATCTTGTAAGATGTCATGTAGAAATTAAAAAATTAAAAATATAAAATTGTGATTTATGAAATAATGAAGTATTTATGATCTAAACGGTATCAAAATTTACAAAAAAAAAAAAAAAAAAAAAAAAAAAAAAAAGCTTAATATTTATTTGCTTACGTTATTAAACATTTCTTTTAGTGTAAGTTCTTTAAGTTGCCCCGTTTTTTGTGGTAATACTTTTCCTTTAATTCTGTAGACAGACATAATCTCTTGTTTAGTTACATTGTTGAAGTCCTGTAACTGTTGTTACGAGAATTCTGGCTAACTTGTCAATCAAATGTTTCTTGTTTTCGGTAACTTCTCTCTGTTACTTTCTTCACTATCGATAGGGGTGTTTTCTGGATGTAGAACCATACTACATATTTCGTTATTCATTAATTAAATGATGATTGAGAAGCATCGTCAGCACAATGAAAAACTTCTTTTATATCATCATTTATTACTGCTTCTCCACATTTCTTTACAAAATCTGTTAACTGGAAAATTTCGCTTTTGTTTTGTGATATCCGAAAACCTTTAAAATTAGTGGCTATCATCAAATTTAGCTATTTTTCACTATACATATTTGGTTATGCATTAGAGCATGGCCACTAATGACAAGTTGTTCTGTTAAGTTTTATTTTGCTTCTATCGCACACTGAGGCAATTAAGTCTGAATTGTATTAGTTATTTATTATACTTATGTCTTTTTCTTGCACATGCTTAAGGCTTATCAGAGTTCTGAATGAATAAATTCCCACATATACTTAAGCCTTATTGAGGGCTGGTGCTAAATATCTTACCGCCTGATGCAGTCTCTCTGGATCCTAAATTCTGCGACTCATTGCGGCCATACGAGCCCTGGCGCGGGTTCAGGGTTTATGTGAATAATAAATCAGTTATTCCTAATTCAAGATAGCCCTAAATGTAATCTTTGGGTCTATGAGTATCATCAACAAAATCTATTTTTAGCATACAGAAAGAAATTTTTGGTAAATTTTCCTCATCAACATTTTTTAGCACATTTAACTTAAATCTGTAATCATTGCCAAGCGTAATGTCAACATAAAAGGTTACCATACTTCTTTATTATTCAATTAATAACATAAAAAATTGTTTAGGCATTGCTACATGAGTTGCCATGTTTTGATAAACATGGCCTGATGAAAGGAAAGTATAATAAACAATGATGTATGTATGTGGAATATTTTGGTTTGAGATGTGTGCCAAAAGGCAGATATGCAGCAACAGAGCCAAATGCAGTCAAATTACTGATCGTAAAAATTTATGCTAAAATATTTGTTTCTTCAATAACAAGGTATTTTGGTTAGTGTCGAAGTGAAATTAAGAATCGGTACTCTCCAGATGTTTTATTATGCACGGGGGGGGGGGGGGATCAAATGTGCATGCGTAAAGCCTAGGAGAGAAACTTTGGTGGTTTTGATGTCCGGATTTTAGATCATTCTGGATAATGGACGTCTAGATACAGACTTTGTGCTGTATACGTATTCACTGAGCACGACATCATAAAAGTACATAATTTCCCATTTATTCTGAAAAATATGCTTCTCTTCATCCAGTTTTTTAACCCTTTATTAACCCCTTAACTGCCATGGAAAACGTACAAGATTCGTTTCCCAGTGCCACTGTTTTTCACACAGGCACACATAGTTATGCGATGTATTAGGGGAAAATAAAAAAATAACTAAATAATAATCTAAAATAAATAATAAATAATAATCTAAAAACTGTTTACTTTCTCAAAATAAAGAATAAAAGAAAAAAGTGAATGCACAAAATTTAATGTTTTGAGTAAAATTTCTGGATTTATGAGATGCATACTCATTATCTTTCTCAAATTTAATTTTAGAACAAATATACCATTTAGATACTGTAAAAATAAAATTTTTGGACTATAAACTATACAAATATTATTCACAGATTGTATAAAGCTCTCAAATTTCTTGTATGAGCACACTGAGTTGGCTCAGATTAAAAATATGTCTTATGCACAAAAATTATTTTTGCTGTTTGTATTGAACAGAAACAAACCAAAAAAAAGTTGTGAAGTTTTAGCTGAAATATTCAGGCTAAAAAAGATGAATAGCAGGAATATCTGCTTTAAATCCATTACTTGGACCTTTTGTTGAAAGCTTATTTTTTCCTATTCCTGAAAAACATTCCTTAAACACTGATAGCCTAGATACTACACAGACTGTAAAATATTATGTATTCTTATTTTATTAGAAATACTTGTGCAGCTTTTGAATCAGAAAATCCTTCTTGAAGATCCATGTATTAAAGTTGTTAGGGATAATTTTTTGAATAACTGGACTGTTTATGTTAAATTTACATTCCATGAACCATTCTGTTTCTTATAGCTGTTTTTCATGTCCAGCACCTTAAATGAAAAGCCAATGTCTATAATGAACATAATGAACTTTCAGCTAAGAAAAATATAAATGTTTAAAAATATAAACGAATGGCTAGTTTCCAGAAACTGAACCTCTCCTGTTATAAGAATGAAAAGACTATTTTAAAATCATTTTATGACACGCAAGAAAAATGCAGAGCATTCCAGCTTATGTTATGCATCGTACTGCAGTTCATGTTGTATGCCTTTATGAGTGCAGTGGATATATAAAAAATTTATATAATCTCTTCCTAATTAGTTATTCTTCACTTTTATGTATTTTTGACCCAATATCTGCATCCCCCCCTCTTCGCACACAGTTTGAATAGTTCATACTATTTTTCATCATGCAGAAATGTGAAATACCGATGTTTGCATTGTAAATTTTCAAGGTAGGCTGTGTTAACTGTAGTCATGGTGCATTTGTAAATGTAGTGAATATTTAAGTATTTTAATATCCATCATGTTTTATATATGTTATACGTGAACATGTCACCTTGACTTAAGTTGCAAAAATTGTAACGAGTTCCTCACTTTCTCTCTTTGTTGGTGAAATTATTTTATGATTACATACTTGAAATTATTTTATTTTTAAAAAATATCAGTAACAATTTTAATGTCTTCAAATTCATTAATTATCATAATTTAAGAAGGTTAAATGAATTTAAATTAAAATTGAAATGTATTTTTCATCTGATTGTCATTACATTTGTTTAAAGAATTGTTTTATGTACTATATGCTTGTTCAACAACTTATTCTGCCATGACTTGGCTTAGTAAATATTTTTTTTTTAAATTTCTTAGGAAACAGAGGGCATTATTAGAAAAATGTGCTATGACAACATTAAGTTCTAAATTGATTGCTTCTCAGAAGGAATTTTTTGCTAAGATTGTTGTTGATGCTGTTATGCAGTTAGATGAGCTTCTTCCCCTTAATATGATTGGTATTAAGAAAGTTCAAGGAGGGGCTCTGGAGGTGAGTTTAATTTTGATAAAATAAATGCAGTGAATTTTTCCAGTATGAAATTTCAGAATTTGAATTGTTGTATTACTTATTTATTTCAATGTGTATTTTTAAAAGCTAATTATATTATATTGAATCGACCCTTTTATAGCGTAACTATTTATTACTTAAATTTTTTATTATAATTTATGGTGATTTGCTGTGTGCTTCTGTATAAATCCTATTATTTCGAGTTCTTGTCATCTTTTGATTCAGAAATATATCACATTTTGTTTTTCAAAATCATGTATCAGTAGGTATTTATTATTCACTCATCTAAAGTTTAAAAACCATTGCTGTACATAATAGAAGCTTATAGCTGTTATTTTGTGGCTAAACTGGCTATAATACAATTTATATTTTGTTTAAAAATAAGCACTTTAAGGTCATACCAATCCTTCTCTCATTTATGATTATAATTTGTGCGGGGTCATCGCAGCAGTTATTGTATTTACAAGGAAGTAATGACCTTGAAGTATGTATTCTAATGTAATAAACAGATTGTAATGTTAGCCAGCTGATGCAACTGAATTCCAGTTTGTATAGTAGTTAATCATTAATGCAGGCTTTAGTTGGCCATTTTTAGATTTAACCAGAAGAAATTAGCCAAAGTAGAAAACTGTTTTTAATTTCATTTTTGATGATTTTTCACAAAATTTGTGTTTTCAGTTGATGAACATAGTTGGGCAAATTGTAATTGCAATTAAAGCTAGATTGTGCAGTCATAATTATATTTCATTACATTATTTTAAATTACTTTGTAGTTAGAATATAATTATTGCCTTTGTTCAGCTAATAGTCTTTTAATTAATATTAGTTTGATATAATTAACACAGTTATATTATAATTATATGCTATTTATTGCCTTCCTGTAATTTACAGTTATAATTAATGATTATGTAATTAGAAAAGTAGTCACAGGAAACTTACAAAGAGAAATCAGTTATTTAACATCCCTTTTTATGTTATTTAAAAGATGAATCATGGAAAACCCATTTAGCCAACCCAGTTATTTATTAAGCTGGATTGAAAACTTAGAATGCACTACCAATGTTTTACAGTCTTGGCCACTAAATATCTTGTTGGCCTTTGTTAGAGAAATTGCTGTGCTTTCATTCTACAAGCAGCTTGCTGGTTTGATATGTGTTCTTTTTTATTAAAATCATATATTCCAGTTTTGGCACAATATTGACACATTATCCTCTCTGCTTTGGGCTTGATACTACACTCATGTCCATAAATTAAGGATAATTCAGAGTCACGTGGAAATCAAACTCTAAAATAAATATATCACCTGTAAAATCACTACGCACATCTTCAAGAACCATATGCAAATTTCAGGAAGTAACCAGATGACACTGATGGTACGTCACAATGACGAGAGTGTAAGAGAGTGATATATAAGGAATACAGGCAAAGAATTAAAATTGTTCGCAGGTGCTTTATAAGCATTTCAGTGCAATAACTGAATAGTTATGACACAAAGGATGCATTTGGATGATTTTTTACGTGGTAGAATTATCGGCCGTCTGGAATGTGGGCGTACCCAACTGAAAGTATTAGACGAACTTGGAATTGCCCACAGTGTCATCTCCAGGCTTTGGCAACAATTCCAAAATGATGGTAATGTGAGTAGACGTTACAGCACAGGTCGCCCCAGAGCCGAATGAGGACCGGTAATTTGGCAGTTACTGCCAAAAGAAACAGGCGGAGCACAGCCTCAGACCTGTTTCGTCAACTTTCTTCAGCCACTCGTACGACAAAGGCAGACCGTGTACAGACGCTTAGGGTAGATTGGTCTACATGCTCGTAGACCTGTCAGATGCATTCCACTTACTGCAACTCACTGTCGCCTGCGGTTAGCCTGGAGCAGAGAGCATGCATTGTGGACACTGCAACAGTGGGCTTGTGTGATGTTTTCCAACGAGTCCAACTTTAGCTTGCAGTCTGATTCTCGCCGGACTTTCATATGGAGAGGTCCAGGTGCCCATTACCACCAAGAAAACATCATTGAACGACACCGTTACGGTGGTGCAGGAGTGCTCGTTTGGGGTGGAATTATTCTGGGTTCCAGAACTGACTTGCATGTTCAAATTGGAACCATGACAAGCCAAATCTATCGGGATGTCATTCTGAACAACATGTACGTTTGTTTCGGGGCGCCATGGGCGTACAATTTGTGTTTATGGATGACAACGCCCATCCTCACCGTGCAAACATCGTAAGCGAATGCCCTCAATCGGAGGATATCACCTGTATGGACTGGTCGGCATTCTCACCGGACTTGAATCCAGTAGAGCATGTGTGGGACATGCTTGGCCGACGAGGTGCAGCCCATCAGTCTTCTCCTACATGTCTACCGGAACTTCGGAGAGCATTGCTTTTTGAGTGGTGTAATATCCCCCAAGATCAGATCGATAATTTGATACTCAGCATACCTAGGCGTTGTATGGACTGTATTGCATCGTCTGGGAGACATACAATGTATTAACAATCATACCAACCATGTAATATTGGTTTTTTGTAAATAGGTTTTTTTTGTAATTTGCTCCCGGGAGAAAAAATCGCTAATTTTTTTAATAATAAACATAGCATCTTTTTTTGCTCTTTACCTTTTATTTAATAAATAAGCTTTACAAATAAGTCAAATTTGTTTTGCTTCTAACTCTTCCTTTGCCTGATTTTGCATTATCCTTAATTTATGGACATGAGTGTAGATGGATTCCTCCCACGTTTTTGCATATTTTTTAAAGCTTTCTCCTCTTTTCACTAAATCCTTGGTATTAATTTATCCTCGTGATTTCTGTTGATTTTATCCCTGAAACTCCCCTCACTCACTCAAGAAAGAGACATGAATTAAAAACAGATCAGGTAGATATAATTTCTGCATCTGAAATGATTAAAGTAAATATGCAAAGCTAAAATAAAAAATAAATGTAGTTAATACATATTGTACTGATAAAAAATAATAAAATACATTGGTACAATAAATAATTTTTGTTCCAGTGCCCTTCCTCCCAGTATGAATGAAGGCTGCTTAGCCACTGAGGCTTTGAGTAACATTTTTAATTTCATGAGGTGATTACTTGAACACAATCCTTCTTTATAAAAATGCATCAAATGCATATATATATATATATATATATATATATATATATATATATTTAAAAAGAGTAGATTAGATAAAAAATTTAGTTGCGCAATTGATGTTTATAAAAACAATTATTGCTAAAGAAAAGGTCAAACCAAACTGCCAACACTCCTTTGTGAGGGATACACTAAAAACTAGTAAAAAAGAATACAAGTAGGAGGAGGGCAGCATATTATATGCCTTTAATGGAAAATTACCTAAAATATTTGATAGGTGTGTTAATTATGCACCAATATTTAAATAATATATATTATAAAATTTGGTATGCAATTTTCATAACTAATTAAAAGCCATTTTGTTACAAATTGTGTGCATCAACACTGTCTATTTTATGTAACTTCAGGTAGAAATACACCCAGCATTTTAAATGTCTGCTGATGATTTCTGTAAATTAAAAATGGCTTGTTTTTTCACATCAGAGATCATCCTGATTAACTGCTCAGTGAACTACAAGTGGTACTTCTCTCGTTATGCCGCCCCCAATCTTATTTGGGTTATGCAAAGCTCTCAGATATGATTTCACAAAACTCGTGTGAATGTAAAAATAAATGACACGATAATAACAATAATACTAACATATTTTTATGAATGAATTATAACGTATAAATATGAACAATTTTGAATTATAACGTAAGGGTGCTTTTAACAATTCATCAAAAACATAATTTTCTCCTATGTACTTCGTATGTATCAGTCTAAATCCTGAAAGATACAATTTGAGGTGATGCCAAGCAGTGTCCTGTTGTTTTTTTATTATGCCATTTGACTAAACCCCACATTCTTTCCACATTTTAGGTGTGAATACTTTTTGTTTGGTCTACGAAATTGTACTTATGTTTCACAGTAAAGTGACTACAAACAGCTTCTTCAAGTAGTTGAGTTTTATATCACTTTCAACAGTGTGAATGCATTGTTTATCCATCTTGCACATGTTGAATAATTTTCTCCATAAGTGTACCATCATCTCTATTGAAGATTTGACTGACAAAGCGCTTGCCATCTTCCTGGCATATTCCTCTAAAAATCCACTGTCATGGAAGTACTTTGCCGCTGTTCTTACTTCGAACAAGTAGTTAAGTTTTATATCACTTTCAGCAGTCTGAATGCATTGTTGGTCCATCTTGCACATGTTAAATAATTTTTCTCCATAAGTGTACCATCATCTCTATTGAAGATTTGGCTGACAAAGCGCTTGCAATCTTCCTGGCATATTCCTCCAAAAATCCACTGTCATGGGAATACTTTGCCGCTGTTCTTACTTCGAACAAACAAACTTTTCAACTGTTTTACCGGAACTGTCTATTTGCCTACTGAATTTTCCATCAGAGATAGGGAACATACTTTGTGCATGTAATTGTTCCAATCAATTGCAGCATTTTCATAAATATTAAAGTGCTTGTTACACTATTTGATGGACGTCACCTCCTCTGCTGAAGAATATGTACACTGTGCAAAAAAAAAAAAAAAAAAAAAAAGGTTGGGACAGTTCTATATCTTCCTTTCTACTGGGCTGATTGACGAAATTCAAATTGCATTTTTCATGTCTTGAAAGCATGGTTAGGGTATATATTAGATGTATATATATAGCATCATTTTAACAGGTATTTTGACACAAAATCAGACTTTTTCTGAAATGAGATGCCATTTTTTTCCCATATTTTGATTCTATGACTCAAATTATGCCAGACTATCAAGTTTTATAAAAATTGCACGAGTAGTTTTTAAAATTTTAGCTCCTCAATGTTAATTCAATTTTAATATCTCATTTTTTATTAAACTTTTTTGATTCTTCCTTTCACATTTCAAAATTTAGGTTCATTCC